CTGAAGCTGGAGGATGATAACAAAACATTCTGCACTGGTGGTTGTCTGAAGCGGTTCAAAGAGGTGCGGATACATCAGAGAGAGAAAATGCAAAGTTGTGGGACCAAAATGTTGTAATGATCTACACAAAAACCCAAAGATCTCTTTTTAAAAAAAACATTTATTCTGCAGAACTCCAGGATGCTCCTACGCTGCACCACTTGCCTCTTTTCACGACCTGTCTCGGACATGGTTAACTTTAAAAACGATGAGAACGTGGTGCAGCTCTTCTGCGGCCGCTTTTGTGTGAAATCTTATAAGCTGCAAGCGACAGATGAGATGGATCAAGGTAATCCACAGTGAATCTGTCAAACGTCCATTTTTCACTTCTTTTTACTGGATCTTCAGGTCAAAATCAGAGACGTTATAAAAGACATATAGCACTCACTTCTTAAAACGAAACAATTTAAACTGTTTTTATCACATACAAGTTATACTCTCACCAGACATTTAATCAGGTACACCTTGCTAGCACTGTGTTGACCCCTTTAGCTTTCAAAACAGCCATAATCCTTCATGGTATAGTTTCATAAATTTTGGTTCATGTCGGCATGATAGCATCACACAGTTGCTGCAGATTTGTCAGCTGCATGTCAGCAAATATCCTGTTCCACCACCTCCCGAAGGTGCTCGATTGGGTTCTGGTGAGTTTTATTTGAGTGCAGTGAACTCGTCGTCATGTTCAAGAACCAGTTTGACATGATCTGAAAATTCTGTCATCAGAGGATGGCTGCTTCCAGGCCCTGTGGCGGAGGTTTTGGGCACATTGTAACCACTGAATTGACCAAAACCATGAGGCCATCTCTCTGACAGCCAAAGCTTGGCTGAAATCAGGTCACAAAGGGATGGAATTGGTCAGCAATAGTACTCGGGTAGGCTTTGGCATTTAACCGGTGCTCAACTGTGCCAAGAAATGATCTCGCACACTGTTAGACCTCCACCAATCTGAACTGTTGATACAAGGCAGTATCGATCAATGCTTTCATATTGTTCTTGCCAGATTCTGTCCATACCATCCCAGTATCAGCAGACATTAAGATTAAGTAATCAGACGAGGCCACATTCTTCCAATCTTCTACTGTCTCGTTTTAATGAGCTCAGTTTTCTTAGCTGAAAAGTGTGGTTGGAACAGCATTATTGCCCAGAGAAAGGCTTAGAGTTTCCCCCTCAAAACCCCAGAGATGGTTTAGTGTGAAATGATAAT